TTGTTCCACAGCCTATGATTGATTCCCATTTCGTTTCACTTCATATTATTAGAGGATTCTTATGGCTGGTGGAATAATAGAAATCTAGGTCCTTTGCCAGGTTATAATATAGGTGTTTCTAAGAGGTAGATCATAGATTGTAAATCCAAAGTCATAACACCTACGTTCCTTTCCTTTTTCTTTCGTTCGTACGTGGCTCATTTGTAATGGAACAAAGTGAAGCACGAAATGAGCCACAGAACGAAATGAAAAAGAGGGAAAAGAACCCATTTTTAATTAGAACAAAACATGCATTATTTCATTTGTTTTTGTTCAATTAAAAAGAGTCGCAGGGGGCTGTTGCGACACGAGCAGTTCACCGACACCTTGCTAAAACTCCCTGATGCCAATGGACCCCTGTTGCCAACAGCGGCTCTCAGATGCGACGGTCGACTTCTCCGGGGCAGCCGCGGCCAAGCCGGTGAAGTAGGCCGAAGAGCTTTCTGGGTTCAACAATCAACTCGAAGCTTCGTATGGGCGAGAAGCCAGGACATGCCATCCTCGTCCCAGACGGCCGTGAGTTCGGCCGAAGCGGTGTGCTGGGGAGCTCAGCGCCCAGTGAAGCCCAGCTTGGTGCGGAGCATGCCCACGAGACCTCAGACAGGGCGGGAATCTTCGAAGGCTACGCAAGCGCCAGTGCCGTGGCCGAGTTCCCAGAACGGGCTCAAAAGCATTCTTGCGCATCCTTGCATGTCCTGGCCTTTCCTGGAGACAGGTGGTTCGCGCCAAGGAGGGGATGGTTCCAGAATCATCGCTGAGCAAACTCGAGGCAGACTGACACGCGTCTTGCGGATGCTTGTGGCAATGTTCGCATGCGGTCCACACCACGGGGCGTGGCTGCGCGATGCTGCGTATGTGCAAACCTCACATCGGTACCCATGCTTGTGGTTGTCGTAGCTGCCTCAGAAGAGGCTACTGACGGGATGCTCTGACAGTTACACCAAAGACTTCTGAAGACACGATGACTGAACTAGCCAGCTGCTTGTGGTGCTCTTCTGCGAGCAGCGTGAAGTTTTGAGTTCGGGACAGCTGTGGCTGTCTGCTCTAGTGCGATTAAAACCTTTCCTGTGTTTCCTTGAGTTGGTGTCGTCCAACTTCAACCACACGGGCAGACCCATCAATGTCTGACTCGAGGCGTGGCATGATTTGGTGCATCGCACGGCATCCATGAGCGTTTTGAAACTAGGTGCAAGCAGCACGCGGCATGCGCAGGAATGGCTGTTTGCTTGAAAATCAGCGCAAGATAGTGCCTGCGAGCTTCAGCAACGCAATTTGGAGTGGTGTGAATTGATGCTTGCGCCATTGTCCAGGCCTTGGACTGCGAGGATGTCTTTGCTCACGCGGCGGAGGGCGATGCCTATGCCAAGGAGCTGGTGCGAGACACCGCGAGGCGCTGCCTCTGCAGTGCCCGGCAGCATGTGGCCTAATTATTGTTATTGACTGTGTGACCAGGTACCTGGCGATCGGATGCATCAACTGCTGCCGCTTCGTGGATCCGTCTGTGATCTTGCTGCTGGGACATCACGAAGCTGCCGACGGACATCTTTCAATTGTGGTGCCACTGTAGCTCAGGTTCTCTGGCGGCCTGGCCGAGGTGCACGGAGAGAGCCAAAGCAATTCGAGTCAGACTCTCTGACTCTAGCAGCTTCACTTGATCAGGCTGGGGAGAGCTTGCTCCAAGAGGTCCGGAGGCACGACGGTTCGCAGGGGAGCCCTCTTCCTTGCTCTCCCCTCTGTGACTGTACAAGTGCATGGTGGCCGCGGGCGTTTTACTGTGCAAGTTGAGCCGATTCACGAGCCACCCATCGTATCACTCGTGCTCCAGCCATGTGCCCATGTCCCCACGGTCCCGTTCCGATTAAGAAGTGAACAGCTGAATATGCGCCAGCGATGGCGACTTCTGGAATTGGATGGGCGGATGTGCGACCGCGCCGCGGACTGGCGGAGAAGGTACATTTACATGCCACGCCGCCATGCCATGCCATGCCATGCCACGCCA